AGAACGTTCATTACGGCCGTCTCTGGGGAGAGGCTTGAGCTCATCACGTGGCGAGTGTTTAGCACGTGGACTCTTCCTGTTCCCAGCTATCACCCTGGGCTTCATTAATCGAGTCAAGGAGATGGGGCGATGCCGTTTCCGCACTAAAGGAGGAAGTTTCAGGTGTTGGCCCCGAGCCTCTCCCCTCCAGTCCTGAGTGACTGGGGAGCCGGTATCAGAATACTTCCTAAGTTCCCTGCTTCCTAAATCGAGGGGCTCCTACACCCAAGACAGACCCCATTGCTTACGGGGTGCTCAGACGACACGGCTGCCGGCTGGGGGACTGACTCTGGGGTGCTGTGCACGGGACAAGCTCCTGAGGAGCTGGGCTTTCGGGGGTGGGGCCCAGGCTCGCTCAGGGTTTGCTCAGGGCCTTGGGTCTGAGACGGAGCCTATTTCACGTCACGCGCTTTCATTGTTAAAGACCAGTTAGTATAAATCCCAGGCCACCAGGTTCAAATTTTGCAAGACAGGGCTTCTGACCACAGGCATTCTGGGAGATGGCCAGGGGGCCTTCCCGACGGGATCTATGTACTGGGGGGACCCGATAAGGCTCCAAATTTGGGTGAAATCATGATGGGAAGGATAGGTGATAAGCTCACACCTGCATAGTCCTTCCCTTACTACCTAACGAAGTCAAGGCGTAGGAGTGACTGGTTTTAGGACAGGAGCTAACAGGCTACTCCCAATTCACGAGTACTTTTAGAAACAAACAGTAAAACTCTTAGGTCATTGTTTCGGATAACATGTGTCCCTAGGTAAAGCGAATGTGGGAGTTCAGCGCTTACCTCCCTTTGTGCTTTTCAGTGAGTCATGTAAGACTAATTCTGAAAGAAAAAACAGCTTTGAAAAAGCCCACCCAGGAAAGAGAGCCAGTAGCTGAACTAAGTATGGAAATGCCTGACTTACCAGCTCTTCGCACAGGAAACGGCAACAGTCAACATTACATACCACAAAATTCACATCTTAAATATCGATGCAAATTAAACAACATTCAGGAAGTAGAAGTCTATGTACTCACCAGAAACAGAAACCTCAAAGCAATATGCTAAATACATTCACGACAATAAACGTATAAAGTTTTCTTCCAAAGACAGGCCACTACTCACCAAGAGTTCAGAAGTTCCCAGTTTGTCTAGTTCCAAAGACTGAATGCGGGAAACATGGACCCCCATTTCCCTGTGGATTCCAGAACATTCTATGCAGGTCAGAATACCCAAGTTGGTTGAAAGCCAGGTGGGTTCTGTGGAGAGGATTGTGAAGACAGTGAACAAAGTATCTAATTGTAGTGTGCCAACTACAGAGGATGCTAAAACAACAGCGGTAAAACGTGAAAGAATTATGGGGGAAGATTTAAATGGAAGAAATAGATGCTTGCATTTGGCCGAGGGCCTATGATAAAAACCAATAGCTTGCTAGAGAGCAAAAAGTGTAATAAAACACGTTTTTAAAAAATTTCCTTTCAATACTGGATTGAAAACCACATGTTCTTTATTCTTGTGAAGCGTGGGAAAGACTTCCATGAGCCTCAGGACACACCTGTAGGCCTGGTGGGGGCGCTCCCTCTGCACCAGCACCTCCCCGACAGGGACGGCTGCAGACCTGAAGTCCAGCACAGGGACAGGCTCTGCAGCAAGCATGTCAAACTCACCGCCCGCGGGCCGCAGGTGGCCCACAATGAATATTTTTGTGCCCAGTCAATATAACGGTATATAAGAAACATTTTAATGAAAATTTTATAACTTAATTTTTATAATATCCTGTTATACATCATTGGTAATACTGAACTACAATGTTCACTAATTACTGATGACTATAATCGTGTTGCATTCATTTCCCTTATACGCCTTACGCGCAGGCGCACCACTTCTCTCCACTAACACTAGCAGCGACTATTTTAGCAGCCAATGGCCAAGTCGTTAGTCTTGGACTGACTTGTTGGGTGTGCGCAACAGGAAATATTTCGCTTTCAGAGAACAAGAAAAATAGGTTTATTTGCATTAAGCTTATAATTTGTGCAGTTATTCAGTGCCTGGTAAGTTAATGTTCAAGAAAAAATATTTTTATTAAAATGTTGTATTATTTTATGTTAACGATGACTCATTTATTTCACTCCTTTGTATTCAACATGTCTTTATCGAAATATATCTATGTTTCTATGAAAATTGAAGCTTTTGGTTTTTTGTGGCCACATACACTTAAACCGTGTTTATTTGGCCCGTGTTAGCCTTGGAGTTGACATGTCTGCTCTACAGGCATCTTTAAGTCCGAGTCACAACTCCCATGAGCCCATCATCTCGGTGTGGGCCTGTCCACATGTGCCTGTGGGTAAGAGCTTAGGCTCTCAGAGACCTTAGGCCTCTGTTTCTACAACCGAAAGACTCCAGAACAGCAGGAACACATATTTCTATTACCCGAACCTGCAGGGTCCTCCCTGTGGGCCAGCTTCCTTTCCATGGGTCAGTACCCAGGCATCTACACTCCTCTGCCATGTCCTCCCCAGTGAGTGCCTACCCCACACATCACGGGAGTGGCAGGAAACGAGTCGTGTCTCCGAGGGGCCTATGCCATGTCGGACAGAGAAGCCCATTTTCACAGGTAAAACATCATGGGTTGAAATGTTTACGAGCTACAGGTTTGCACCCATGTTCTGACCCCTCCTAGATGTGTGACCTTAGGCAAGTCACTTGCCCTCTAAGCCCCCCATTTCCTCCTCTGTAAGATGAGGATAATATTAGCATCTTGCTCACAGAACTTCTGTGAAGATTCAATAAGATACTATAAGCAAAACAACTAGCAGGGTCCTTATGAAGCACTGAATAACAGTGAGCTACTGTCACCTTCTAGGTAACACAGATGCTATTTGGAAATAGAAGTTTCCAGGTGATACGGAGGTTGGGAGGCTTCACTAGGCAGGAGGAAAAGTGATGTACCACTTGTCAGCCCCATCTACACTATTTCACTAAGTCTTTGTAAGAACTGGGGTTTATGATCCCATTTTTAGGATGAGGAACCTGAAAGTCAGAATAGTAAAGGGATTTGGCGTGAGGCTGTCCAGGCTGTGAGGGGCAGGCTGGCGATCCAAAGCCGGGATGATGGACTCCAGGTCCAGTGCTCCTCCATGCTGCCCTTGGTGCCATTTAACTGGACCTCACTAGGAAAGGTAGCATTCTGGCTGGGGACCATGCAGGGAGAGCAGGCGGGAGCTTTCTAGGTACAGCAAACAGCCCGGTCACTCACGCTGGGAACCCGTGTTGGGTGTGTCCGTAAGGAAGCAAGGGTTTTAGATTCCTGGCTCAGGCATCTTCCACAGGAAGAGAAAAGGCGTTTAACAAGCCAGCTCTGCTTTGGGGACACCGACCTGAGGAGCCGCAGTCGCAGCAGACGTCGTTGCCAGGCAGCCGCTGGACGTCCTCGATGATGGCTTTGGTCAGGTCTTCCAGGCTGTTCTCGCCCGCGCTCTGCTCTCCGCGGAAGGCCATGGTCAGGGCCTCCTCTTTGCTGTTTGTCAGCACTGATATCCACCTGTAGTCAGAACAGGGGAAGGAGACACTGTTTTCTCCTTACACTGCAGCCAATCTGGTTTCACCAAGGAACACCAAGAGACACCGCTCCCCGCTAACAATCAAGTAGGAAGAAAAGGAAAGGAATTAAACCTAAAGGAAAGAGAATGAAAGAATGGAAAGCAGCGAGTCAGAGAGAACGGCAGATGAGA